ATAACAAATATATATATATATATATATATATATATTATGAATAAATTTTTAAAAAAATGATTAATAATTCATTTCATTGTCATGTAACTAAAATTTGATCAATCCTAAATTATCTTTAATATTGGTTATCTTTAAACTTTTGAGTATCCATCACTTGAGTTCAGACATTTCTAAAGTTAGTTTATAATGGAGCTGTCAAAATGGGTTCCAACCCGTGGGCCAACCCGACTCACCTTGAAAATAGGTCGAGCAAAAAAAAATGAAAATTTTTATAATGAATCAAAAAATGTAACCCGGTCCACCCAATCTAAACCCGTGATGGGTTAGGCTGCCCACCTAACCCACTTAACCATTTATTACTATATGTGTATTATTTTAATAAGACACAATTTTTTTTTGTAGATAAAGATAAAGTTAATGTTAAACAACATGAAATTGTTATAAATTTATTTACTCAAGCTTCCAACAAAGTCTAATATTGATGAACAATCACTCTCATGAAAAAAATTATTTTTTATTTTGATTATTTAAAGTTTTTCACTTTTTAATTTAAGTTTAATGATTTATGCATGATACTTAATCTGACATTTTTTACTTTAGATTAGAGATTATTTTAGATTAGAGTTTATTTTAAATTATAATTTTTTAAAAAAAATTGGCGGTTCGGCCTGTTTAGTCTACCAACTTGTGATGGACTAGGTCGGATTAGAAAATTTTGGATATTAAAGTTGGTGGGCCGGCCGAATCAACTCAATTAAAAAATGGGTTAAGGTGAGTTTGGTCAAACGAGTGAAACTAACCCTTTTTGACAGTTCTAGTTTATAATATCTCTTAGCCAACAATGATAATATTTTTTTATTTATGATATTGTTTAATTGGTGCTGAATTTTATTAAAAAAACTTCAAACGAAAAATGTTAGTAAAAAAAAACTTTAATAGTCCTAAATTTTAGCTATATTACAAACATATCCACCAAGAATTATCTTCTTTTTTTTTGTCAATATGATTTTTATAAATATCATATTTATTTTATTGATCTCTTTATAACTTAATTTTTTTATATTTTAAATAAGATACACCAGATAAAGTAAAAAATGAAATAGTACAAAAATTAAAGATAACAAAAAATTAAATATTTCTATTTAAACTCAGTATTTCATTAATTTTTTGAAATTTTTATCTTTTAAACTTTAAATGTAAAGTACATATAATCTTTTAAATAGTTATTAGTTTAGCTGTTTTATTTTTTTATAACAAAATTATATTTTAGTGAAAAAAGTTTACAAATCTCATAATTATGGTCTTTTTTTGGTAACAGACATATTTACAAATTTTTATTATAAATTGTTAGATAATTTGATAAAGTTAAAAAAAATTTATATTTGAGGGTTAAAATTTAGGGTTTAGGATTTATGTTTTAGGGTATAAGGTTTTGAGGTTTAGGCTTTTTTAGGTTTAGGATTTAGAATTTTATTTAATGGCTTAATTTTCTTATAATATAATTAATTTTTGGTAAAAAAATTTAATAAATCTCATAATTTTTCCAGTGATTATTTTGTATTTTAAAATTTTAAAATTTAGATATTTTGATAAATTAAAAAATATTTTATAATAGAATTATCTTTTAGTAAAAATGATTTACAAATATCATAATTATTTTGATGATTATTTTTGTAATTGATATATTTAAAACTTAACTTTCTCGTAATTAATCAACCACTTATTTTGTAGTTAACATGATTAACTATCAAAGTAAACACGTTCTTTATCAATTATCATGATTAACTAGTTCGTTAGATGATTATTAGAAAGAGTTAGGATAGAGAAATATGTTTTTTGATGAGGGAAAAAGTCTATAAGGAGACTTCTTTTTATTAAAACAATCAATCTATAAAAACCCTAATAGAATAAATCTAGCACGGATATGACAGCAGAGCACTTGATGCGGTGAAATTAGCGCTTCTTCTAGACGTCCAAGTCTCCCACGACAAGGGGCGCCCAACCTCGCCTACGCACGGTGCTGCGCCAAACCCTCTATGTCGAAGAGAGAGAGAGTCTTCTTATTTATTTTAATTAAATAATTTTAAATTATTAAAATATCCTTGTATTGGGAGTAGGCCAATACCCCCTCGGATCGAGTACTCCCATTAGGCCGAGTACCCCCTCAGGCCGAGTACCCATCAGCCAATGAGTAGGTCGAGTACCCCCTCAAGCCAAGTACCTATCAGGCCAATGAATAGGCCGAGTACCTCCCTTAGGCCGAGTACTCCCTTAAGTCGAGCACCCCCTCAGGCTGAGTACCCATCAGGCCAATGAATAGGTCGAACACCCCTTCGGCCAATGAATAGGCCAAACACCCCTTCGGCCAATGAACATGTTGAATACCCCCTTGGCCGATGAACATACCGAATGGGTATTCAACTGTAACGAAATTTCACGAGAAAAAGGAAAGCAAGTATTAATTACATTAAACACATCCACGTTAGCTGTAATCAATGTGCAAAACCTCGTGCACTAGCCCAATAATCCAGAAAGCCCACCAGGCCCAAAAACGTCACTATAAATATGGTATTGATGGGACATGTATGATTATTTAATACAACAACCTTTATTGCTCTGTACCGAATACTTACTTGAGCGTTGGAGTGCCTTTGCATGTACCCTCCCCACCATTCGGAGACAGAACTTAGCTTGCATTTAGAACTCAGAAGACTAATCAAGAAGGAGGAGAGGAGGAGTGTTCTTAGCAGGAACAATCCTTATTACAAATTAATTGAAACAGAGAATGAATGATTTTTTTGACAAAAATTTCCATTTATATATATATATATATATATATATATATACATATATATATATATATGGAAGAATGATTTATTTACTCTAATTAATAAATTATGTTAGTTGAATTAAAAACTTTTAATATAAATTTATAAAATTTACAAATTATTTAATACTTTATTTTATTAGTTCAAATTGATAAATAATTATATATATTGATTTGAATTAATAAAATGGAGTATCAAATGATTTTTAAAATTTTAAAATATTTGTAAACTTATCTATACTTTAAGAATTTTTAATAAAGAGAGTCAACCAACCATTAAATTAAAAAAATCTTAATACATATATCAAATTTATAAAATTTAATAAAATTTGAAAATTATTTGATATTCTGTTTCATTAATTCAAATTAATGTATAAAATATATTTATGATATTTATACTTTACAAATTGATTTATACTTTAAAAAATTTTAATTCAATGATTAGATAATTATAATTTAATATAAAATATAAAATATTAAATAAAATAAATCTATCAAAATTTACTCTTAAAATAAATAAATTATATATATATATATATATATAATGAGTTAAATGATAGATTTTGTTTTGACTTATAGTTGATAAAAGCTTATGTCCAAGTGTAATTGCAATAAATATTTAGAAAATGATGTGTATATTAATCACACCCCACTAGAGGATTGTCCCTCATAAAAGAAATATGTAGTTTCATAAAAAAGGAATAAGCAAAAGAAGTTTCCAAAAGATTAAAAAAGATAAATAAAAAGAAAGAAGGGAAGATGATGTTATGAGAAACATACGTACATTGAGCGTAAACTCAGCCAAACATACCCCAAAAAACAAATAGAATCATTGTACGTGACTCGTCCAAACCAAATGGATAACCTAACGAACTAGTGCCCTACCAAT